ACCACACACATCTTTATAAGAGATTTTGATATCTGGAGGGATAATGTCTTCCAGATCTGTTCTTCTTCTTGGCTATTTTTGGCCCTTGAGTTCATTTTTAGATTCTATTCTGTTCCATTTTCTATTTGTCTATCTTCACACTAAGAACACACTGTTTTAATTATTGTAGGTTTAGAGTAAATCTTATTATCTGGTGAGGTAAAACCTCCATTTTCTTCTTCCTTAAGATTATTTTGGCTATTCTTGGCCCCTTGCATTTTTATTTGTAAATGTTAGAATCAGCTTGTCAGTTTCCACTAAAAATATGGTGGGATTTTGATTGAGATTGCACTGAATTCATACATTACTTTGAGAAGTACTGGCAACTTTACAATACTAAAGTTTCCAAGACATTACATCATATATCCTTTGATTTATTTAGTTCTTCTTTGGTTCCTCTGAGTGATATGTTGTGATTTTCAGACTAGAGGTTTTGCTAATCTTTTGCTAAGAATTTCCCCGAATAGTTTATATTCCAATGTTTAAAATTTTCTAGTTGCTGCTCTATGTAGAAATACAACTGATTTTTCTTATATTGACTTTTTATTCAATTATATGGCTAAATTCTATTTATTTATTTATTTTAAACAGAGTCTCACTCTGTCGCCCAAGCTGGAGTGCAGTGGCGTGATCTTGGCTCACTGCAACTTCTACCTCCCGGGTTCAAACAATTCTCCTGCCTCATCCTCCTGAGTAGCTGGGATTACAGGTGCACACCACTATACCTGGCCAATTTTCATATTTTTAGTAGAGACGGGGTTTCACCATGTTGGCCAGGCTGGTCTCAAACTCCTGACCTCATGATCCGCCTGCCTTAGCCTCTCAAAGTGCTGGGATTACAGGCATGAGCCACTGCACCCAGCCCTTTTTATTTTTTATTTTTAGAGATGGAGTCTCACTATGTTGCCCAGGCTGGTCTCAAACTACTGGCCTGAAGTGATCCTCTCACTTTGACTTCCCAAAGTGTTGGGATTACAGGTGTGAGCCACTGCACCTAGCCTAAATTCCCTTATTAATCGAATAGTTTGCCTGGCCTGTAGATTACTTTGGATTTTCTCTGTGTACATTATATTGGCTATATTAATATAAACTTTGTTTCATCCTTTCCAATCATTATACCACTTCTTAATTTTCCTCACTTGTTGCTATGGCTATACAATGTTTGACAGAAGTGATGATACTGGACATCCTTTTCCTCTGTTCAAGCTCAAGTGAGGATGCAATCACTCAGAAAACTGTTCAGCACTGTATGTTGGACATAGAGACACACTGTGATCTAGCAATCCCACTCCTAGATATATGCCCAAAAGAAATGAGTGTATGTTTATAAAAAAACAAGTACAAGCACATCCTTAATGGTTCTCTTCACAATAACTCCAAACTAGAAACAACCGAATTCAGAATAAATGGTAGTAGAGTCAAACAATCATATGCTATTTAGCAGCAAGAATGAGCCAACTATTCCTACAACATGGATGACTCTCACTAACTCGTTGAACAAAAGCAGTCAGACAACAATCTTGCATGTTCTTCACATGTACCCCAAAACCTAAAATGCAATTAAAAAAAAAATATATATATATAAAAGCAGTCAGACATTAAAAAGCACATATTATATAATTAAAGTTCAAAAAAGGCAAAACTAATCTATGGAGTTAGAGGGCATGGGGCTGGTTACTCAAAGGGGAAGATTTAGCATGGTGCTCCAGGGGCTTTCTGGAGAACAGATAAAGTTCTTGTTCTTGGCCTGAGTATTGACAGACAGTTAAGTTCACTCTGTAAAAACTCACAGAGCTATATACACTTATGATTTGTGTTTTTGTGTATATTTAAAAGTTTATTAAAAAATACATATATTTAACTGAGGTTCTGTTCTCACTGGAATCTACAATCTGAATTTGTATAACAAATGTCTGCCCAACTGTATAAATGTATAGCTCTTGTAGACATTAGGCTTTTGGGCTGTATTTTGACGTTTGTCCCTCTGAAGTTCTAACTATAAGGGCCATTTTAGTCCGTTTGTGCTGCTATAACAAAATATCTGCAACTGTGTAATTTACAAATAACAGAAATTTATTTCTCACAGTTCTGGAGGCTGGGAAGTCTGAGGTCAAGGCACCAGCAGGTTTGGTCTGCTGAAGAGCCGGCCATTCCTCATGGTGCCACCTAGGTGTCTTTTTATGGCCTGACAGAAGGGCAAAAAGGACCTAAGCTAATTCCCTCCAGGCCTTTCACGAGGCACTAATCAATTTAGGAGAGCAGCACCCTCATAACTTAATCACTCCCCCAAATGCCCAACTCTTAATATTGCCACCATGGGGATTAAGTTTCAACATGAATTTTGGAGAGGACACCATTATTCAAACCATAGGCAGGGCCATGGGTAGCAAGTGGAATTTTCTTTGAAAGGGGTATAAATTATTCACTGAGGGGAGAGGGGCCTCTTGAATAGGACACTAAAATGTAGAAGGCAGACTTTGTTCCAATTAAAAGAAGGAACTCCAAACTCTTGTTATGCTTCATTTCCTTTGGTCTAGAGCAATGGTTCCAAAACTGTGAGCTGCAGGGATTGAGAGGCCAAGGAGTAAGCCGAAGACATTGCTATGAGTCCAAATCCGAAGACATTGCTGAGTCCAAATCCACCAAATGTTATCTGTAAAACGAGTATCTCATACATATATGTACCATTATTTAAAAATATACATGGCTACTTAACTTCATATATCTTTTAAATGAATTTGTAATTTTTAAAATACACTCTATTCTCTATGTATTTCCTCATTATATAGAGTATGCACATAAAAGTATGCCTATTATCAAGGGAATTTGAACAATTTGGGGGAAATGGGGAAGCTCGACATTTTAAAATCTTTTTTTTTCTTTTTTTGAGACGGAGTTTCGCTCTTGTTACCCAGGCTGGAGTGCAATGGCGCAATCTCGGCTCACCGCAACCTCCGCCTCCTGGGTTCGGGCAATTCTCCTGCCTCAGTCTCCTGAGTAACTGGGATTACAGGTACACGCCATTATGCCCAGCTAATTTTTTGTATTTTTCGTAGAGTCGGAGTTTCACCATGTTGACCAGGAGGGTCTCGATCTCTGGACCTCGTGATCCACCCGCCTTGGCCTCCCAAAGTGCTGGGATTACAGGCTTGAGCCACCGCGCCCGGCGACATTTTAAAATCTTGAGAACTTCTGATTTTGACTTAAAAGGGGGCAAAAGTCTAGGTTTGGGGTCCTTCAGAAACAGCAAGCTAGGAACTAGGTGGGTTGAGGGTTATCTGTCAAGAGAGACAAAGTCATATCTTATCAGCAGGATATCTCGAAGCAAGTTAATCTTTGTTTTCTTTTCATCCCGGGGCTTCAGTGCAGTCCTGCACAGGTATTCTTCTGGAGCAATGCTCAGAAGAGGCATAGGCATCCCCAGAAGGGCTTGCTTAGGTAGTCTCCCGGACCCGGACCCCAGCACCAGAGATTCAGATTCGGTAGGTTAGGGTGAGGCCTTCAAATTTGCATTTCAAAGAAGCTCATAGTGGATGCAAATGATGCTGGTGTGAGAACCACTGCTCTAGATTCTTAGCTGCACTCAGCAAACTAAGATAAAAACATTAGAAGAGCAAATACAGCGCCCCAAACAGAGAAGCTGACAAGTCAGTACCAAAGGGATGCTGAATACCTGGCGACAAGAACTGCTGCTTTGAGATAAAGATGCCCTTCTTTTTTCAGGGAAACACCCCCACCATGGCCAACCTTGATTTTACGTGGGCGACTTGTCTTCCCTTGGTAGAACAGAATTTTTTTGGTTGGAAAGCAATCTGATGAGCAGGCTAATGAGAACAGTCACAGGATATTCTGGGAGATACCATGCCTTTCATCTAAATAATCAGATTCAGTGACAGAATTTCAAAACCAAGGACCATTAGAGATTGTGGGGTCTTTCAGGGGAAGCTTTCCTGTAACCCTAAATCACACTATGTAAGTAGAAAGCTTGCTGAATGTTTAATTTTTTGTTAATGCGATTTCTTCTAGCTTTTTTTTCTGGCTAGGGTTTTCATTATTTTACGTGATTAAGGACACTTTTCTGCCCCAGGTATTTTAGTCCTCTCGACTGGCCTTGTCCAAAAGAACTGTTTTCCATGATAGAAATGTTCTACATATTTGCTTTGCCATATAGCAAGTCATACGTGATTATGGCGTACCAGAAATGTGGCTGGTGCCAGTGAGGAACTGAATTAATTTCATTTAATATCTAAAATTTAAATCACAATACTGGACAGCACAGCAAAACCTTTCCTAACCCTTCAAGTTTCTTATGAAGATTATACAGTAGGATAGGGCAAGCAGCTGAGTTCACTAACAATGAACTATCTTAAATCTGAAAGAACATGATTTCCCTAACCAACACGTTTGGTAGAAGACGACTTGCTCTTTTTTTACAGTTAACACTAATTCTTAAGTTGTAGAACGTTTTCTTAACAAGGTGTATTCTCCCAAATACCGGGAGAGCTGCCTTTCCTTTTGCTACAGCGGTTTATTTGGTATAAAATCTGCAGGCGTAGAAGAGCTGACGCGAGGGCAGAGGAGGATGAGGAATTTGTTCCAAAGTTGGTCACCGGCCACTAAACTGACCTTGATGATGTTTAAAATAAAATTCAAATACCGCACTTGAAAAATGAAGGCCGAGAAGAGAACGAGAAATGGGACAGCAAGAAGGAAGGCGAAGCGTGCCGGCGAATTTCAGGATACTTAATAAGGGAGTCCTACTCCTGCAACCGCGCGCTACCGACAATACCACCTCCCCATTGCCGGAAGGCGTGAGCCAAGGGGCGGGTCCCCCAATTCCCAGCGCCCGGACCAAGGCCAACGGGTGGTCCCCTGACCCCGCCCCCTCCCACCTGGGCGCCCTCCGAACCCGCCCCCACCCCAGAGCGCCCCGCCCCGCCGCCGACTCCGCGTAGCGCTCGGGCGCAGAGTCTGCGCGCTGACGTCCGACGCTCCAGGTACTTTCCCCACAGCCGGCCAGGCTTTGGCGTGGGGGCGGGGCGCGAGGCGTAGCGCGCATGCGCCGCAGCCAGAGCGCTCTCCGCGGATCGTGCGGGGCCTGAGCCTCTCAGCCGGCGCAGGCTCTGCTCGCGCCAGCTCGTCCCGGTCGTCATGCCCACAACTATCGAGCAGGAGTTTGAGGAGCTGGATGCTCATCGTCGCTGGCAGCCGCTGTACTTGGTGAGTCGCGGACCCGCGCGGCGACCGCCGACCTCCTCGGAGACCCGGACTCGTGCCCTGCCCGCAGGCTCCCTCCCGCCTCCCCCGCTTCTCTTTCAGGGCGGAAGTGGCGGCGCGGGCCGCGTCAGGAACGCGCCTGCGCTGACCGCTCTCTTGCTTCTGGGGGGGGCGGGAAGGCAGACTTAAGCTGAGCGGCCTCATGGTTGGCGCAAGCGTAGTTGGTTCTGGAAGGCGGCGCCCCAGCAGCTTCTTGTGTAGGGCGTGGAAACGCCACCAGCGTTGCTCGAACTGGTTCTGGGGTCCTTGGGGAATCCGTGTGGGCGCACGGGCAGCCAGTGTTGGGGCGCCGGGCCGCGCCCCTCAGGGCTGCAGCCTCGCAGTCGCTCCCACGCTGCTGTGGACAGCTCTTTCTTCGGCTGGGTGTTTTGTGGCCGGGCGGGCAGCCGGTGGCCCCGGGAGCGGCGAGGGCGGGGGCGGGCGAGCAAGGCTGGGATGTCCTAGTCGAGTTTGCGCTCTAGGCTCCGGGACGGCCGCCTCAGCCCTCTTCGAGGCGAAGCCCTCCTGGCGGAACCGCGGTGGATGGGGTGGCTCGTGGCCTCTGGCAGTGGTCTCGCTCCCGGGACTACCCTCCCCCCGGCCCATCTTCATTTTCCGTCACGGCGCAGCGGCGCCCAGCGTAGGGTCCCCCACAGAGCCTTCTCGGAACGAAAGAGGCTCGGCTTGTGTTCGTCCAGTGATAGCGTGTCGTTCGTTCTCTTTGTAGTTTTGCTTACTGAGGTATACTTTCCCTACAGTGAAACGCAGATCTCATGTGTGCTCCCAAACGAGTGTCACGAATCAAACCCCCTTGCAGACCCCCTCGAATCAAAATAACCTTTCCATGTCCTGAGAAAGTGCCAAGCCGAAAGAAACCACAAAACACCCAGCCGAAGAAAGAGCTGTGCTACCTTCCCAGGGGGCACCCTGTTACGACGCCTATCGTCCAAGAGTAATTGTGCCTATTCAACTCACATAGATGCAATCTGTAGTATGAACACTTGTGATTCGCTTTTTTATGTCAACTAGACCACATTTTAATTCAAACAACTGCTGAGCAGTCTAGAAAAAAAAGAAAAAAATTCCATTAAAAAATAAAAAAACTTGCTTTTAAAATGACTTAATTGCTTACCCCTCCGTTTAATTCTTGCCATATTATTCCCAAGATTGAATTTGGTGACGGTTAAGTTAATGCTGCTTCTGATGTTTGGTTCTCTGTGTAAAGTAAAAGAAAAGAAGGGCTTTCCTGTAAATGTGGATAATCCTGGGTTTTTCCCCTTTCCATTTAATTAGGTGTCAGTGAAAAATGTGTTCAGAAAGTAACGTTTTCTTCTTGAACACATTAGTAGGGAAGTATAAATATCCTGATTCCCATGATACAGAGTATGTTAGAATAGGGCTCTAAGTTTTAAAGAATGCTGGTATGGACTCTTCCAATTATAGACAATCTGAAATGCAAATTCTAGTAGGAATCTTAATGTGAGAGAGAGCCTGCCAGCTGCATCTTCTCCAATTACATTTGTTTTAGCAGAGGCTGCTGTCTCTAAGGGATAAGTTATATATCAAAATAGATTTGAAAAGAGAAAAATGAATATAACAATTCAACTTAACATTTTGGTTTAAGAAATTTGATTTTCTTTGGTATCACTAATATCCTTGAAAATTCAATGAGAATTGTGATTACTCTTTCCAGAAAAATAAACTTGCATCCACTGGCCATTTCACATCCATTTTCAAAGAGACCAGGAAATCCTTCTATAGATTCTTACTGAGGAATCCTTTAGTTTACTTGTTTGGTCAGTGCTCATATTATTATTTTTTCTTAATGGAAAAACAAGGCCATTAGTTTGGTCAGTAGAAACCATGCCGTGCTCACTAGTGTTACAGTAAAAGTAGGTCACAAACCAAGAAAGTTAGTAATGGAAAGCAAGTCAGGAAGTTTGGACTATGTGTTTTCCTGTGGCCTTAGAACATTCATTCAGCCATTCCACAAATATGCCTGGACCTCCAGTGATTATGCAGCTTTTACTTCGGGCCTTGGGGATTCAGCAGAGAATTGCTCCTGACAAAGTTCCTGCCCTCGAGGTGCTCACACTCTGGGGCTTGTTCTCTTCGGGCTTCATTGCAGTTCCATATTTTTATTAATCCACTCGTAACATGCTTGTTATATGCTAGTGTTAGACACCTAGGATTCTTGTTAAAAGACAGAGTCCCAGGTTTTAAGGATGCAGCCCTGTAAATAGGTAAGCAGATTAAAACTTAAAAGTGATACATGTAAAGCTAGCTTCAAGTTAAGGGTGTTGTAGAGGTGAGTACCTAGGAGTCCTGTATTTCTCAAAAAGAGGTGCACATGGGAGTTCTGGTGAAGCTTCTTGGGGGAGGGAGGACCTCACCTGAGTCTTTAAAGACATTGGCCAGGTGAAGAAGACAAGAGAGGTGAAGAGAATTAGTGTTCCAGGAAGGAGGGAGTGCGCAAAGACACTGAGGGTGGAATGCTGAGAGGACCAGCCACAGTTTAGCCTGGATACTGGTGTAAAGTTAAGGTGCTGGAGTATAAGGCAGAGTCTAGAAGACCTTTGTAGATCAGACTAGGGAATTTGAGCTGGTTAATAGGAACTCACTGTGGAATTGTAAGCCTGGAAATACCATGATCATATTTACTTCTTTTTTTTTTTTTTTGTGGAGTCCTGCTCTGTCGCCCAGACTGGAGTGCAGTGTTGCGATCTCAGCTCACTGCAACCTCCGCTTCCTGGGTTCAAGTGAGTCTCTTGCCTCAGCCTCCAGTGTAGCTGGGATTACAGGCACACACCACTATGACCAGCTAATTTTTTTTTACTTTATTAGTAGAGACGGGGTTTTGCCATGTTGACCAGGCTGGTCTTGAACTCTTGACCTGAGGTGATCCACCCGCCTCGGCCTCCCAAAGTATTGGGGTTACAAGCGTGAGCCACTGTGCCCTGCAAATCATTTTACTTCTTAGCAAGATTGTTCTGACTGCTAGTGGGTTGAATGGGCAAAGTGTAGGCATGCAGCACAGGGCAGTAGTTGGTTGGAGTAAACCTGAAGAGAAATGATGAGCTGCACTTAGACAGTGGTAGGAGGGATGGAGGGGAGATAGAGATTTGAAATGAAATGGTAAAGGGGTATAAGTTATTTATAAGCTTGGTTTTGAAACTGTTTAATTCCATTTGAGGTACTTGCAAGACACTGAAATTAAGCTAGTTGAATGTATAAATTTGGAGTTTGGGAGAGAGGTCTGAGTAAATGTGATTTTTGAAGTTGTGAGCTCATGGTTGATATTTGATGTCTTAGGTATTGATGAGATCATCTAGGGAAGATACAGAGCGTTTGGAAATAACACAGGCCAAGGACAGAATCTGGCCAGACAACAGATAATAGGATGGGCTGGGCACGGTGGCTCATGCCTGTAATCCCAGCACTTTGGGAGGCTGAGGTCGGCGGATCATGACTTCAGGAGATCGAAACCATCCTGATCAACATGGTGAAACCCTGTCTCTACTAAAAATACATAAATTAGCCAGGTGTGGTGGCACATGCCACCTAGCTACTCTAGAGTCCTAGCTACTCTAGAGGCTGAGGCAAGGAGAATCATTTTTACCCCCGGAGGTGGAGGTTGCAGTGAGCTGAGATTACGCTACTCCAACCTGGTGACAGAGCAAGTCTGTCTCAAAAAGAAAAAAAGGATGGGTAGAGAAAGAAGATCTTGCGAAAAAGACTGGCGAGGAACAGCCGCAGAAATGGGGAGGAAAGCGGTGGAGGGAGTTAAGGGTCAACAGGGCCACCTGACAGGTAAGGGCCAGCCTGAGAGGGCCATTACATTGAGCAGCTAGATTAACAGATACCTTAAAGGGAGCCATATCAGCGGACTTCACAAGACAGATACCTGGAGTTCAGGAGAGAAGGCAGGAAGACATGCAAACTAGCAAGTGTACACTACTCTTTTTAGAAGCCGAACTTGAAGGGAAGAAGTGAGGAGAGGTAGCTAAAATTAAGCAAGATTGTGTGACTTCTCACTTAAACCCTGTAATGGCTTCTTGTTGCTCACAATGTAAATTCAGCCCACAAGACCTCATGGCCTTTGCCTCTCACTTGATTTACCCTGTCACTGTCCTCCCTCTTTTCCACTGTGTTGTGTTCTTGGAAGTGTGTGTGTCCATTCTCCCCTTAGGGACTTTGTAAATGTTCTCTTTGCCTTGGCACAACTTTCCCCCTTCTCTTTCCTCTCTTGCTTAACTGCCTCCTACTCATCCCTGAAGTCTCACTTCCTTGGCAGGCCTTCCTGACCTGCCCATGCTGGGTATGAGCCCCTTGGCTTACTTCTCTAGCATCCCAGCACTTCCCCTTTTGTAGCGGGAATTGGATGTCATACAGCAGCAAATGATTTCGGGAACACGATTTGCATTAAGCAAACCACTATCGAAAGTAACACAAGTTGGGTAGGAAAAAAATGTTTAAGGTGGCTTTCTGCTTTGTTTATCACAACAATGGGTGATGTTTCTGATAATGTTTGGGAAGAGTTCTGCTTTTTTTTTTTGGTAATGCTAATTGAGCTGGGCAAAGAAAGGCTTTGCTCTTGAGCAAAAACTGAATACAACTAAAAGCTAGACTTGCTTAGTGGTAGGAGAACTTGATACCTTATTGAAATTCTTGCAGGTAAAATGAGATTAGTATTTTGAGTCTGAAACTATCTGGTCCCTTAGTCTTTTTTGCTCCTTTTGAACAGTGTCTTTTATTTCATGACTTTGATAATAGGAGGTTTCTTAGAAATGAATTCTTGGGTTGAAGCAGAACAGACTCTGTTAGTCTGAGTTTATATTTTTACTACCTCTTCAGAGTTTCATGAAGGCAGTGCCAGTGCTTTACATAGTATCAGGTGCTTAGTAAGCCCTTGATAAATATGTGTTGATTTCTTAGGAGGAAAGAGCAACTTGATATATTTATGT